AACTATAATCCTTAATCTTTGGAACTCAATCACTCATGTTTAGTATTTAAAGTTAGGCTAACAGTTTGTTAAGTACTAATGCCGCCTTTTCTTTTTTCTAATAATTATCCGGTTGTAGTCTGTATTTTTCTTGTTAGATTATAATCTGTTTGTGCTGCTTGCAGATATATGAATGGATGAATAAGAGGCCACAAAGGTTCACAGCAACCTCCAGCGACGCTGCCATCCAGCTCGACCTCATCGCGAGAGTGCACGGCATCTCGAGCGCCGAACATTACTTCAAAAAAATTCCAGGCGCCTCAATGGACAATAAAGTATATGGCTCCCTTCTAAACGTGTATGGCCGCTCAATGATGAGGGAAAAAGCCGAGTCCCTAATGGACGAAATGAGAAACAGAAACTACGCCAACCACATCCTCCCTTTGAATGTGATGATGACCCTCTACATGAACCTCAAAGACCACGAGAAAGTGGAGTCGTTAATATCAGAAGTAATGGAGAAAGGGATAGCGCCCAATATCTATACCTACAACATATGGCTCTCTTCCTGTGGGTCCCAAGATAAAATGGAGCAAGTTTTTCAGCAGATGGAGCTCGACAACTCGGTAGATCCAAACTGGTTAACTTTCAGCACGATGGCCGCTATTTATATTAAATCGGGTGTCTTGGAGAAAGCCGAGGAGTGTCTAAGGAAACTGGAGGAGAGGGTTATGGGGCGGGACCGTAGGCCTTTCCACTCTCTCATTACCCTTTATGGTACAATGGGCAGGAAGGAGGAGGTTTATCGAATATGGAACAATTACAAGGCCTCGTTTGTAAATATCTCTAACACGGGGTATCACTCGGTGATTTACGCCCTTATCCGATCAGATGACATCGAGGGTGCTGAGAAAATGTATGATGAGTGGCTTTCGGTAAAATCGACTTTTGACCCACGATTAGGTAATCTGCTCTTGAGCGCTTATTTGAGAGATGGGCTTTCCCAAAAGGCGGAGACTTTTTTCGACCAGATGACCAAGATGGGAGGGAAACCCAGCTCGTTGACATGGGAGATACTCTCGGAGGACCACATTGAAAATATGAGGATCACGGAGGCCCTTTCTTGCCTAAAAAATGCGGCCTTGGCCGATGGGTCAGGAAGCTGGAAGCCATGGCATCAGAATGTGTCCAAAATTCTCGAGATTGTGGAGAGAAGTGATGATGCGGTGGCTAAGGAGTCGTTGTTGGAGATATTGAGGCAGGTGGGGTGTCTCGATGATGCAGCTTACATTTCGAATATACCTTTGTTGGGTGGTGACAAGTTTGGTGGGGGTGAGGATGGAAATTTCGTGCTTCTCAATCAACTGCAGGAGAGCTTGTGAGGGATCGTATGTGTGTGTTTTCATGTTCGAATATGGTTTTTCGATGTCCAATGTAGGTACATTGTCTCTGAGAAGTAATCTTTTGGCGGGTTGTTCGTTGTAGTGGTTTTTTGGCAAAATCGATACATGCATTTTTACTTCTGTTAACAAAGCGATGATGTGGCAAATTTTTTTAACAGACTTGGCATTGGACGACTCCACAACTGTCCAAATCATCCATTTTTTTAATCTTAAACCCTAGCCCTAGGTCTTCGACATCTCCCATATGATTTGATAACATGTCTGCTACTTCCAGTGCTAGTTCAAGGAGATTGATGTCTGTATATTCCCACAAGCAGATGTCTTCACGTCAAATATCAATCTCAATCCATGTCGTCCATTTCAACGTTGCCGCATATTACATGTTAGTTGTTTTTCTGTTTCAAGTTGGGTTTCATTTTCTGTTTAACTACTTGCGTACACTCGCATGTAGTTGGCTTTCATTTTTGTGCTAATATGAACTCAAATGTAGATCATATATATATATTTTGTGGCTAATTTCAAATTTTGTGTTGATATGTACTCAATGCTTTCTGAGATATGGTTTTTAGGATGACTGTAGATGCTTTGTCTAGGTTGATCCGGAGCTTGAGTCATTTCAGAAGTCGTGTTGTTTTGGAATTGAAGTCTAGGAAGAAATTGTTGGAGGAGCAGTTGAAATGCAAGACGGTTACGATTGAGAAGAAACTTTTGGCCTTTTGATTATGTCCATTGTTTTGGGCTAATTAAATATTAATATCAATCAACCATCATTATATATCACACAAACTTTAATTCAATATTCATCAACTCACATAATTTTAACTACTTATCACTTTCAATTACTTTTATCCTATTTTTACATCAAATTAACTCGTTTTATTTTAAATATTATTTTAATACAAACTCAAAATTGTACTCAAACCTAACATAACATTTTTTTCAAAATTAACTACGATTAAGAAAAAAAAAAAACAATCAAAATTAAATTATCCAATCACAAATCTATATTCAATCACACTCTTACTGAAAAACATTAATAGAGAGATTGGAAAAGCATTATAGAATATACCGTTCAAAACTTAACTACTAGAAATCCCTAAAACTCTCTAAAAGTGTTAATTTCATCCTTCACTAAAGTCTCGTTTACTTAATCTTATAGGATAGGATATGGTTGGATAACTCTTGTTATCCAATGTTTACTAACCATGATGTGATTGGATAATAAGTTGATGTGTCATGTGGGTCCCACACTTTTTTACACAATTGGCAAGATTATTTTGTCAGGTCTTGAGGGTGGGACATTTTAATCCCACCTTAGAAATGATCATTTTGTCAAAACATTTGCATGTGAAATGTCTCTTTACCCTTAGAAGTCTACCAAATTACAGATTTAGGCCATATAAATATATTTTGCTGCCACCTCATATTTTGCTTTTTATCCTGTCATTTTATCCAAGATCGTAAACACTTGATTGTTTTTGCCTTAAAATGATCATGTTTTGTAAACATTGGACACGAGCTGACGTGTAAAGTTGGGGGAATTAAAATGTCCAATACATCATTTTAAGTAAACAAGGCCTAAAGGCACTATCTTGGACTTTAAATGTTGGATCAACGCACATCAACAAGGATATGTACATGAGTGTGTGTAGTCGAACGGTTAAAATTTCCATCAAGGCAGTATAAATATAAGTGTAGGATTAGGGGTATAAACAAGTTGACCCAAGTTCAAACTCATATTACTCGAGCTCGATCCTTTAACAAGTCAAGCTCTTAACTAAACAAGTCAGTAATCCAACTCTATAGTAGCTCATTTATCAATATTAATGAGCTAAACTTGAGCCTAAAGTAATTGAACTATAAAAAATTATATAAATTTTTTTCTTTTCGAGCTTAAAGAGCTTTATCGAGTTGAGCTCAACTCGTTAATTAAACGACTTGATTTGTTGAACAACTCTAAGTAGGATGAACCCTTAGACGCATTATGCATAAACAAGTTGACTCAAGGAAAACAAGAAAGAGAAATGTCATATTACTTATCGGATTCGAGTCCAAAAACAGAACATAAACTTTTGTTGGGTCTTCCAAAATAGAACAAACTTGAAGGACATATCCCCTTATATATAATTCTTGAATGTGCTGAGCTTAAGTGACAAACTCGTATGATTCGGGATCCTATATGGTAAAATTCACGCTTCATTGTTTGGCTTGGATATATTTTAATTTACTTCCAATCTTAAAATAATTAAGTTTGGATTATTCATAAATATGTTAATTAATTATAGTCATTTTAGATGTATTAATTGCATTTTAATATCATTTTCTAGTATAACCATTGAATTGTAATGTATTTTAAACTTAATAACTTTTGTATTTTTTTTATCAATTTTACATATATAATATATCAAATTAATCATCTCTTGATGAGTTTCGATTTGACATCCATATTATATGTATAAAATAAATAAATTATATTTATCTTCATAATAATAATAAAATGATATAATAATATAAATTAGAACTTTTATCAATCAATATATTTGTTTTAAAGTAATTATATAATATATAAGTTAGAAAAATTATTATAATATAACGCATATAAGTCGCACAAGTAACAAATGTCATTCTAAAATTTATAATAAAATATATTTTTCGTAAAAAAAGTATTTAAATTATAAAACACTTTTTTTCATTAATTTTAAAATTTAAAATTATTTTTCAAACAAACACCTGTGTAATATGTACTAGTCTAAAATTAATTAAAAAAAACTATGAAAATATATAAGAAATCAGGATAATGGTTTTTTTATCTAATATCCAAATTTTATCTGCGCCCTAGAAAATTTTTCACACAATCACACAGCGCCATGCTTCTCCAGCCCACCATCCCAAAACCTCCTCCAAATTATCCCAAACAGAATCACTGCAATGTTAACGCTTCAAATGCGCTGTCATTCTCATCCGGGCTCCTTCAAAATTCGACCTTTTTTCTGAAAAAATCCATCTTATACACCGGCTATAAAACCCATGAGGAAAACGCAGTATTTGTTACTTGTTCATCGACACCGCGGGTTAACAGCCGCGGAACAGTTGACTACGAGAGGAGGCCCTTGCTGAATGGGGGGGATATTTACAAGAAATTATTTATGCTGAAAAACTCGGATTCTGGGGCTGCTGCAGTGTTGAGTCGGATTGAAAATGAGGGGAATAAAATAACAAAATGGGAGCTTTCCAAAGCTGTGAAGGAGCTCAGGAAGTTAAAGCGGTTCAAACTCGCGCTTGAGGTAAATTTGATTTTTCAAAATCGCCAGTCAGTGAAAAGAGTTTTTATTTAATGGAGCAAGTTCAACTTTTTATTTTGGCGTGTAGCTTCTTATTGAAGTCCTTGCTAAGCGTGGGTATGATGAGCTAGGTTGGAACTGAGAAAAATAAAGTACTGCTTGCTTATGTGTGTTGTTTTTTAACTTACAAACTTGAATGATTGAATCACTAGTTACTAGCTTTCTGAGCCTATTAGAGGAATGTCTATGTCAATTTCGGATTATTATATATATATATATATATATATATATATATGTGTGTGTGTGTGTGTGTGTGTGTGTGTGTGTGATTATTGAGCCACTCTAGTCTCTTACAATGTCCTCTAGTTCTTTTTCCCAGCATCCAAAGGTTTGTGCTTTTTGCAGATATATGAATGGATGAATAACATGCCACAGAGGTTCAGAACAACCTCCAGCGACGCTGCCATCCAGCTCGACCTCATTGCGAAAGTGCACGGCATTTCGAGCGCCGAACAATACTTCAAAAATATTCCAATCGCCTTAATGGACAATAGAATATATGGCTCCCTTCTAAACGCGTATGTCCGCTCAACGATGAGGGAAAAGGCCGAGTCCCTAATGGAGGAAATGAGAAACAGAAACTATGCCAACCACATCCTTCCTTTCAATGTGATGATGACCCTCTACCTGAAACTCAAAGACTTTGAGAAAGTGGAGTCGTTAATATCAGAAATATTCGAGAAAGAGATATCGCCCGATATTTACACCTACAACATATGGCTCTCTTCCCATGGGTCCCAAGGCTCCGTGGATAAAATGGAGCAAGTTTTTCAGCAGATGGAGCTCGAAAACTCCATAGATCCAAACTGGTCAACTTTCAGCACGATGGCCGCGATGTATATTAAATCGGGTCTCCTGGAGAAAGCCGAGGAGTGTCTAAGGAAACTCGAGGATGTGATTATGGGCCGCGACCGTAATCCTTACCACTATCTCATGACCCTATATGGCACTATGGGCAGGAAGGAGGAGGTCTATCGAATATGGAACATTTACAAGGCCTCGTATGAAAATATCCCTAACTATGGGTATCACTCGGTGATTTCAGCCCTTATCCGATCGGATGACATGGAGGGTGCTGAGAAGATGTATGACGAGTGGCTTTCGGTAAATTCGGCTTTTGACCCGCGGTTAGGTAATCTGCTCTTAGGCGCTTATTTGAGAAACGGGCTTTCCGAAAAGGCAGAGACTTTATTCGACCAGATGGGCGAGATGGGAGGGAAACCCAGCCCGTTTACGTGGGAGATACTCTCGGAGGACCACATTGCAAATATGAGGATCCCCGAGGCCCTTTCTTGCCTCAAAAATGCGGCCTCGACCGAGTGGTCGGTAAGCTGGAAGCCGAGGCATCAAATTGTGTCCAAAATTCTCGAGATTTTGGAGAAAGATGATGATGTGGTGAGTAAGGAGTCGTTGTTGGAGATATTGAGGCAGGTGGGGTGTCTCGATGATGCAGCTTACATTTCGAATATACCTTTGTTGGGTGATGACAAGTTTGGTGGGGGTGAGGATGGGAATTTGGAGGTACTCGATCAACTGCAGGAGAGCTTGTGAGGGATCGTCCGTGCGTAGTTTTCATGTTCGAATATGTTTTTTCGATGTCCAAGGTAGGTACATTGTCTCTGAGAAATTATCTTTTGGCTTGCTGTTCGTTGTAGTGGCTGGTTTTTTTTTGGTAAGAACTAAAAAGACTGATTTTGTTAGTGTGAAATGGAGTTCTGATGAAAGATTATTGAGCTGCATTACATGAAGGAGGAGAATGGCAAAACAACTTAACTCATTTGTGTGGTTATGATATTTCTGTGTATTTTTGCTTTTCATTCCAATCCGTTGGATTGATTGCACAAGAGTGTAATTCGACGGCTGGGATCGGAGCTGGGCAGTGTCTAATTGATTACTTTAAATGGTCATGAGGTGCCAGAGGATAAATAATCAGAAGGTGCCGCTTGCATGTAATTACTCAGAAATGGTACAACCAAATTGACATCTGCTGGTAGGAAAGTCAGGTTTTCTTGAAATATAATTCAACTCTTCAATGTATTTTCCTTTATATTTAATTTAAATTTAAGCTTTTCAAAGTGGTCCTACTATTTAAATCAATGCACATATTCAAGTTTTGGTTTCAGCTATAATTCATGAAATGAAGGAAAGAAAGAAACTACAAAGTCCTTTTTTTCAAGGATTGTTAATTCATTTCATTTGTGCCAAGCTGTCTAAGCACTGTTGATTCAACATTATCATTATGTGACTGATAAGTGGTCCAATTTGAGCCAAATAAGCTTAATTATTTACCAAATGAATCATAAATTTTTTTGGAGATTTTTAATACATGAAAGAGGTGAAGTTCTTACCTTACATGCATGCATCAGGATTTTTCTCATGAGAAGAGAGAAAATGCCAAACTTATTCTCAAACTTTCAGCTCTCTCTCTCTAAAAACTTTCAGCTCTAGCGTTCATTTTAACGCCACCGGCGCCGCCCACGCTGCCGTAATCCGGCGAGCAGGTTAGCAGGGAAAACCAAGGGTTAGAGAGAAAGATTTCCTCTCCCGTGAATCCTAACACGGCGCCCTTCAAATCCCAAGCCCGGAATATCATTGATGCCTATGTATCTTCATGGGGAAAAATAAGAACAAACTCAAGTACCGGAAGTTAACGGAGGAAGAGTGCTCCAGCCACTCCATTGAACAATATGATGTCCCCCTAGAAGTCTCGGAGGATGAGCAGCAAATGGAAATGGAAGCTTCATCTTCAACAGCTAAAGCCACCTTCAATGGAGGTTCGAAAGGAAAGGAGGTAAGGGAAGAGAATCCTAATGCTACATTACTCACTAATGCCTTGAAATCAGTTGAGAATGTTAATGGAGGAGAACACCAAATGAAAGACAAAGCTACAAACCACTCCAAAAAAGACGAACACAAGATGCTCGATAAAATGACACAAAGAAATCCGGACTCATTAAAGAGGCCATTCTCGGCCCTCTTTGCCGATAACCGCAAGGCCTCGCTAGGCCTTAAATTGGAATACATACCATCGGACAATGGAGTCGAGCTTGACGAAGAAGACTTATTGGATATAACGAGTGCATGGGGATATTGTCTAGTCGGGTACTTCACCCATAGACACCCGGGTAAGGAGGCCTTGTTAAATCTCTGTAACTCTTGGGGTGTTCGTTACGACTATGTCCCCAACGTTAACGGATGGATTGTCTTTAAATTCAATAATGAAGAGGATAGAGCGAAAGTACTCCACGGAGGACCATACACTATCTATGGACGGGGGCTCATCCTAAAAGAACTCCCTAATTGGTTCCAATTTGGGGAAGACGACATCAAAACCGTCCCCGTTTGGATCAACTTCCCCCTCCTACCCGGGGAATGTTGGAGCACAAAGGCACTCAGCAAGATCGCCTCCCATGTCGGCAAACCTATCTATACCGACAAGCTCACGGCAACTCGAGCTCGACACAACTATGCTCGGGTTTTAGTGGAACTCGACCTCTCAAAGGAGAGAGTCCTTAGCGTCCCCATCTCCTCAAAAGGAGAATTTCAATTTGACCAAAAAGTGGAGTATGAGTATGTTCCTTATTACTGCGACTTTTGCAAGTTCATTGGGCACTCTACTTCAAATTGTGGAAAGTACAAACTATATTGTGAAAAGAAAGATGAGGGCAAGAAAAAGATAGTGGAAGGTGAAACAATGCAAACCTCCAAGAAAGGGAAAGACAACATAGACAAGGTAATCCAACAAGCCAAGAAGGGAGGAGTCAAATCAAAGGAAACGGGAGCACTGGGGAAGGAACCATCCGGGGAGCACCAACCTAATGAAGCCGAACAAAAAAAGATGGATGTCTCCATGAAGAGCCCTAAGAAAGTGGCAACACAACAGGAAACCACTGTCCAACCGGAAGGAGGAGAAACGGACAAACCCAAGGAGAAGGAGGAAGGGGAATATAATCGAAACAAAGGGAAGGAAACAAATGAGGAGAATAGTGAATTAAGGAAAGGAGTGGTGACCATTACTATGGACACCTCTTCCTCCTCCTCCCGTACCATTACCGCACCTCTGAATGAAGACGACTTCCAAGTAGTGGGTAAGCGCAACAAGATAATCACCCGAAGTGGAGCCGTGAGCCAATCCACCGCAACCAATCCAAGAGGCAAACCGGGCGGGAGAAATGAAAGAGGTAAAGGCACATATATGAAGAAAGGGGGCAACCCCTCCTCTTCTCAATGATCATCGCCTCATGGAATATTAGGGGCTTCAACGGGCCCCTAAAGCAAGATGAGGTGATCAACCTCATCCGAAGAAATAACATAGACCTTTTGGGTCTTTTGGAAACGAAAACCGATGCTAGGAGACTAGCACTCTTTGTGGATAGAAGATTGCCGGGGTGGGAATTTTGTGACAACTTTGACGTCGTTGATCGAGGCCGTATAACACTACTTTGGAATCCTTTGAAGGTCGACATCACGGTGGAAGCCACCTTGCCTCAAGTCATTTTAGCGAAAGTCCATTGTAAGGTTAGCAATCACTCCTTTATTGCTAGCCTTATATATGGACTCCACACGAGAGGGGATCGGAAACTATTATGGAACGACCTTAGGTCTGCTCGGGGGAGGATCACCATGCCTTGGTTGCTCCTAGGAGACTTCAATGCCATACTAAAAGCGGAAGAGAGAACTAGGGGCGAAAGGGTCACCAACAGGGACACAATGGACCTTCGAGAAGTTTGTGACGAATTAGGGCTGTCGGATGTACCTTCGAGCGGTTTTTTCCACACTTGGACCAACAACCATGTTTGGTCGAAACTGGATAGAGCTATGGTGGATACACAATGGGAGAATGCCGACCTATTCGCTCATGCGACATTTCTTGCACCGGGTATTTCCGACCACTCCCCCTGTTTAGTTACTACATTTGAGGGTCGAGGCACCTCGGGATCACCGTGGAGATTCTTTAACATGTGGACATACCATGAGAACTTTTTACCGAGTGTCCAAGAGAGTTGGAATGAAGGAGGAGGGGGCTCGAGGCAATTCCAACTTGCATCAAAATTAAAGAACCTTAAGATCCCACTTAAGGCACTTAATGAAGAGGCCTTCTCACACATCTCTACTAGGGCCAAAGAAGCGAAGAATGCTCTTGAAACTGCTCAACAAGTGCTCCACGATCAACCTGACGACTCTGTAACCAAGTCTAAGATGGACTCGCTTCGATTTGAAGCTCTTAAGTTGGCCAAAGCGGAGAAGCTCTTCTATCAACAAAAGGCCAAATGCAACTTTCAAATCAAGGGAGATAAGTGCACCAAATTCTTCCATAGCATGGTCAAAAAACGAGCGAAACGAAACGTCATTGCCTCTATTAACCGAGAAGACGGATCAGTCACTGAATCCACGGAAGAAGTTGCAAAGGAATTCATTCACTACTATGAGGCTCTCTTGGGTACCGAAATTGAAACGGAGGTAGTGGATCCACAAATACTAAGGTCGGGACCGTGTATAGGAGCCGAAGACTGTAGGGCTCTTACCGCCCCGATTACCGAGGACGAAATAAAAAACACGCTAAGAGACATTGATGGAGGTAAATCCCCAGGACCGGACGGTTATACATCTACCTTCTTTTTGAAAAGCTGGTCCATCGTCGGAGCTGATGTCATAGAGGCTATACAAGAGTTCTTTCGTAAGGGCATGCTCCTTAAGCAATGGAACCATACAGCCCTCACGCTTATCCCGAAATCATTACACTCTTCGCAAGTCACGGACTTTCGGCCTATTGCGTGTTGTAACACGATTTACAAGATATGCTCCAAAATCCTAGCTAATAGAGTTAGAGATGTCCTCGGCTCCATCATTGACGAGGCTCAAGCAGCTTTTGTGAAAGGGAGGAGCATAACGGACAATATCCACCTCATGCAACAATTGCTTCGTCTCTACTCTAGAAAACGAGTCTCTCCGAGGTGTATTATCAAAATAGACCTCCGCAAAGCATTCGACTCAATTTCTTGGTCCTTCTTGAAGCAAGTGCTTGACGGGCTCGGCTTCCCCCCGGACTTCTCGAGATGGGTTTTGGAGTGTGTCACCACTCCATCCTACTCACTATCTATTAACGGAAGTCTTAAAGGCCACTTTAAAGGAGCACGTGGATTAAGACAAGGTGATCCCCTATCACCTTTCCTCTTTGTGATTTGTATGGAGTATCTCACTAGGTTAATCAAGAACAACACAAAGGACGGTTCGAACTTCAAATATCACCCGATGTGCGAAGACCTAAAAATCTCGCACCTTGCCTTTGCCGATGACCTCATGCTGCTTTCCCACGGAGACCCTTTATCAATCCAGATTCTCATGGATTGTCTTAAGGAATTCGAAGCCAAGTCGGGTCTCGCAATGAACGTGCTAAAATCTAATATCTATTTGGCGGGGATCAAGGACGATATTAGAACTACAATCTTGAATGGCACGAACTTGAGACACGGCCCAATGCCCTTCCGATATCTTGGTGTCCCTCTTACCTCGGACCGAATTACCGGAAGGCTCTTTGACGATATGATAGCGCAAATAGAAAGGCAGTTGGGAAGATGGAACGGGCACACCCTCTCGTATGCTGGAAGATTGGAACTCCTACGTTCGGTCATACAAGGCATATTGTGTTTTTGGATGGGGATATTCCAATTGCCCGGTATAGTTCGAACAAAAGTTACCCAACTATGTAGAAGATTCCTTTGGGGTTCTAAAAGTGCGCCGGTGGCTTGGGATAGCCTATGCTTACCGAGGTTGGAAGGTGGTCTGGGACTTAGAGACTTGAATGCGTGGAATCAAGCGTTACTCACCCGGACGCTTTGGAACATGCAAGCTAAGAAGGACACCTTGTGGCACAAATGGATTCACAATATCTATCTGAAAGGGAACTCTATTTGGGACTGGGAAATGAGACCGAGGGACTCTCCCCTCTTCAAAAGCCTCTTTGAGATACGTCAAGTATTGGTGAGAATGGCGGGGACCGAAAGGGGTGCGGAAGCCCTTCTAAAAGGCTGGAAATCTCATGAAACCCAAGAGGGGACTGGCAAATGCTACGAATTCCTAAGACCTAGGAGGAACATGGTCCCGTGGAATGGGGTTGTTTGGGGACCATGTAATACCCCCAAGCACTCCTTCATACTATGGTTAGGGGTGCTAAATAGGCTCAGAACAAAAGATCGTCTCGAGTTCCTAGAGGAAGACCCGACATGCCCGCTCTGTGGAGAGGAGAATGAAACTTCGAACCACCTATTCTTCAAGTGTACCTATAGCCTGGAGATTTGGGGGAACATTCGTACTTGGATTAGTCTTAGACATCATCCGGCGACGCTAAAAGGTGCCCTCAAATGGATCAAAAAGGAGGCAAAAGGGAGTGGATGGCAAACCAAATTGAAGAAAGCGGCGCTCGCGGCTACAGTTTACTTCATTTGGAACGCAAGAAATCGACTGGTGTTCGAAAATGAATATCATGGGCCGAGCCTTCTAATCCACAAGGTAAAAACTCATGTCTATCGGACTATGTTTGCCACTTATCCGAATGTGCTCACTGAATTTGAAAGGAGACAAACTAGGTCTTAAGAGGCCCTCTGGACACTTGAAAGTTGAGGATTTGAGGGGGTTGTTAGACCTTCGTGACTGGTTAGTTGGGAAGTGTTGATATGGCTCATATATTGACAAAGGAAGGAGGCAGGCCGATGCCTGCGAGCGGAGCGGAGCGAGCGTAGCGAGGGAAGCGGAGCGACCGAGCGGAGCGAGTGGA